CTTTACACAGTAACATTTCCGCCATTAACAACCTCAGGAGCAACATCATGCCGAACACTCTGCGGCAACATCCCAATCAACTACCCTTTCGGCATCGACCAAGGTTGCGGATCTCCCCAGTTCAAAGAAATGTTCAATTGCTCCACCGATCTGTTTTTCCTCACTCCTTCCGGTAGCTACAAAGTTCAGAGAATCGATTACGAGAAGAACACGATGGTTGTATTCGATCCGTCGATGTCTACTTGCTCGATTCTCCAGCCTCACCACGATTTCAAAATGTCCGATATTCAAAACGCAATCATTAGGCCTTCGTACGACACCGTTTTCGCACTCCTAAACTGCACGGACAACTCTCCGGTTCACAATCGGTACCGGAATCTCTGTTTCAGTTTCCCCGGTCACTCCTGCGACGAGCTTTATAGCTCCTGCACTTCCTTTCGTATCTTCAACACCACCACTCCTTCCGGTATGAAAATCGTTTTTGAAATTCAAATTTCGTCGAGATCTGAATTTCTGTAACGATTTAATTTCAATTTTTGGTTTGTTAGGTAATAGTACGGTGGTGCGTACGACGCCGTATTGCTGTTTCACTAGCTACGATACGGTGAGAGTGATGAGTATGAACATATTGGATTGCTCACATTACACGACGGTGATTGACGGTGGGAAAATGAGAGACGTGGCGCCTTTGGATTGGTCGTACGGGATCGAGCTTTCGTACTCTGTGCCGGAGATTGGTTGTGACCGTTGCCGGAAATCAGGCGGCGTTTGTGGTTTTGACGCCGAGACTGAGATCTTTCTTTGTCAGTGTTCGGCTACCAACAACAACCCTACGAGAGAATGTGGTAATTGCTTTATCAGTCCCTCTGCTTTTTAATAATTTTGAAATTGACTGGAGAATGTTTTTTCTTATCAATTTAGTCACTGAGTGATCGATCATTATTGGTTTTTTTGTTACCATTGATTTATTTTTTGTTGGATTTTTAAAATATGTTAATTCAAATCGTTATGTGTGTTTTTATTTTTCTATTTCAGGTGGAGGTATGACTAATCAAGGAGGATGCAATTCTACAGACACTAATTATACAATGCTTCTTTTGGCTATGTTAATGTCTTTCATATACGTTATTTTGTGATATACTCGTATCTCAGTTTCTAAGAAACTTAAATTTACTAATCTATGGATTATTTTTTTGGATGAAATGGTTAGTAAAAAAATCTTCATGTGGAGGACCGGTTAATCGCATGTGGATCACACTGATTATGTTTATGAACAGGCAAACAAATTTCAGAATTTATCAGCCTGACAAGTCAGGCACTCAAAAACCTCAGATTAACGATTAACAAATTTTGTAACGTTATACTCCC